AAAATGTTGGATTGTATACCTGGATTATTGAGCATGGACTTTGTTGTTTTGAACCAGTTTGACATGACTGTCGATGAGGAAGAGGGCCGGCAACGGAGGAGGGGGCGTGCCAAAGAGACCATCTTAGCACCAACATAACTGGTTTGTTCCACTTTGGAGTAAGCTGTTGGGGGAAGAATCAGTTTTGTTTTATGTGTTTCCTTGACTGATTCTTTCGGATGGAAGGTCCTGATGACCTGACTGAAAAATGTTGGGTTATTTTAGAATAAAAATATATTTAAAAAAAAAAACATCATTACTGATAACAACTCTGTTTCAGATATGTTCATTCTCAACGAGCATATAAAATTAGACTGTGAATAAAAATAGACTGTGAAAATATCAGTTTGTGGTTACTGAGCCAATTAGACATGACTGAAATAGTCACATAATTTATTCTTGGAAAAAGTACAAATTATAGAATTGAAACGTTAAAACGTCTTAAATAAACAGAGACTGAACAATAATAAGAATGTAAGGAAGGTGGAGGACCTCCATGCAGATGCTTTGCTTTTTGCCTCATAATGATAAAATCCACCTCTTTTTTCAGGTGTCTTGCATTAAATGACCCAAAATCATAACTTCTATTTTCCACCTTAAAAAACCTTAAATATTCCACATGCTGTCTTAAATATTATGACTTTTTTAATAAATAAAGAGCAGAATGAAGAATGTTTCAATATGATAAAATTATTGAAATTGTCAAGAATAATGAGTTTTTTGTTAGGTGTGTGTGTGTGTGTGTGGTGGGGTGGACTTTGTCATGTGATGTCAGCCATGGCCGTCAGACAAAGGTGCTGTTTGCAGATATCATCATTTCATTCAACCTATCTATTGATATTCAAAAAGTCAAGGACTCAAAAAGAACATGCAGGAGCACCATTGTCCTAGAAGCCAATCTTTCCAAATGCCTGTTCAGTCAAATGAGAGTGCTATCAGATTGTAAAGCGACAGATAGGCAGTGCAATAAAACATGGACAATGAACAAGTCACATCTGAAATCTCAGTAGGTCTGTTTTTGAATATAAAGGATACAAAGGATTTGATAAAGCAAGGTTTGCACAACAAAAAATGACTTTTTCTAGCTTATTTGAAAAGCTGCACATCAGATAGAAGCAGCAGAAGGGCACTTATAAACTGAGTGGTAATAAATGTAATACATTCTCTGAGCTTTATATAGAAGCTCCCCATTCCACGAAGACCAAAGAAGCCAGCAGCTGATGAGAAAGAATGACAATGTCTATCTGACTTTATTGGCAGAGCTGTTGAAATCAATATGGCTGATAAAGGAGCCTCTACTCACAGTAGATCAAAATGGACCTATGATTTTCAAAAACATAGAAAAGGTTTTTTTTTTTTATGTTTTCAGATGCAGTGAAGCAAGACACAGTCATTCAAGACTAAAAAGTCTTTAGAAAACCTTGAAGAAATAGAGTGGCTTGAGTCTGTATTACTTCTAAATTCTATATTTATGAAAATCTTTGGGCTCACCTGATCTGTACTTTTTGGCTCAAATCATGATCATGTTTGCTTTTTATTCTTTTATAGCCATTACTAGAACTGAATAATCAGTGTTTAAAGGAAAGACAATGTTTATTACCACTCTAGTTAAATATTTCAGTCATTTTCTATTATTGGATTTGTCAATCAGAGTTTTGTGCTTCAAAATGTTTTTCCATCTTTTTGATAAGTTTGCAATACTGACCTTCCTCAGAGAATAACTCAAATGTTGGATTGTTTTTTTAATGTGGTTTTTCAATCATTTTTTGAATGGATACAAAATAAAATTGAGTCCCAAGTTTTTAGGTTCACATTTGCTCATGAGGATCATGAACATCATGGCCCTGTTTTGATAGTTATTCATGTTCTGGCATTATTATGTTGCTAGTGGAAATAAAATCTTCAGTAAACCAACCAACCAAAAAACAAACAAACCCACCAATCAAGTAACCAACAAACAAACAAACAAACAAACCCCCCAACCAACAAAACAACAAACCAATCAACAAATTCACCAACCAACAAAACAACCAATCAATAAACCAACCAACCAACAAACAAACAAACCCACCAACAAACAAACAAAACAACAAAACAACCCATAGAAAAACTAACTAACAAACCAACAAATGGACCGAACGAACGTCCATCCATCCATAGATCATCCTTTTTCTACCACCTGTCTGCAGGGGTGAGCTGGCCATAGGGAGCTGTGGGAGGATTCCCGAACGTCTGGTCAGTTCCAGGCCGAACTGGCCAGTGGTGATCTGTACTTTTTGTTTTTCTTTTAAAACGCTGCTGTGTCCTCGCACAGCAGCCCTTGCAGCCGCAGCTGTCAGTCTAACATGCAATCAGCCCCTCCCAATTTGAAAAAGAAAGAAGAGCAGGTAGCAAACATGTTTAAAAGAAAGCAGAAAGAGATGGGTGGAGCAGAAAAATTAAAGAAAAAGAAAAAGTTAGTGCAAGATGCAACCAAATGTGCTAAAACACTAGACATTTTCAAGGGTGGAGGGGCCAAAGTCACGTGACTAAAGTCAGCCAGGACAGTAA